AAAGAGGTAAGAACCGATAGCCAGCATAGCAGTAAGATGTTGCTTTTGGAAGTGCAGAATTTCCTAACCTGACAATCAGTGCAGACTCTGGAAACAACGAAAAACAACTGTCCCTGTGCAAGGAAATTAGAGCTTAGGCATTGACTAGAAATAGCCTATAAAGAAGCACGGGTGGTTTGCAGAGTGGCTTACTAAAGCCAAGAGTATTTAGAGCCAAATTAGGTTCTCGCACATAAAACTTCCCCGCAATTTAGGGTGAGTTCATATGTGATTCCTCGCTCAGGCAGTCTGGGTCTGGCAGACTGCACCCAACTGCCTTTCGCAATTTCTCTCTAGTAATACAGAAGATCCATCCAGGCTGACTCAGAGATCCCAGGTGAAAAGACTTTCAAATAACATAAATATGATGGTAAAGAATTTGCAGATATGGTACCAGTGGTTTTGGTGGGGTTTTTTGTGTTTGTTTTTTTTTCTGTTGTGGGGTTTTGTTTGGTTGGTTTTGGTTTTGGTTTTTTAAATAATCATGCTTCAGAACAGTAGCACAGCTAAGCAAAAATGAGTCAGGTGTTCTCAGGGGACAAAATATGACGCCACACAGGACAAATGTAAGCACACCCAGCAAGGCACTACACGAAGTACTCTGTATGAAAGCATTGCCTCCCTCAGCTGTAAAACACTCACGAGCAGTAAACTGAAGAGACTTCTTAATCCTTCAACGTTATCATTATTAGAGTATCATTCACCCACTTGTCTGCAAGCTGCTGCCTTCTCCCACCAGCTGCCTCGTCTTACAACAATGCCTCATTTCTGGCTCAGAAGACCAACAATAGGCTCTCCCCTGAGCTTGTGGCGGCATCTCCACGATCACTTGGCAGGAGGCAGCATAACAATAATTTGACGGGCATCCTCCCAAGGAGACCCAACACATCAGTCACGCTGCTGACACACCCCACACCCGGAGGAGCTCATCCACACCACAGATTTCTAGGTACAGGCAGCTGCTCTTGATTGACCATCCCAAAGACAGCAGGTTTTTCCATTTCACTGGCAGCAGAACATGAATGTACCTGTCTCCTGTGATGGTCCCTGCGATACGACCATGCTGGTTTGAGCTAAATCTGCTTGAGTAAAGCAAAGCAACAGGTAATCAGCAGAGAAGACTGAAGTCCTATTTCTAGTCCGAGGACAAATCTACTGCCTGGCATCTAAAAGGAAATAGCACTGCAAAAACAATTGCAAGTTCCCTTTTTATGGTGTGCAAAGAACCTCTTTCCAACAAAATTAAAATAATTACTCTTGAGATTTTTTTAAAAAGGAAATTGAAAAACCACAGTATTTTCAGAGGATGAACTGTTGTTGGGTAGTGCCAAAACCTACCAACTTTTACTGTCCAGAATAACACGAATTATCTTGATCTGACTGCTCCAACTAAACGAATTAAAATTAACTAAGACCCTTGTGTCTTTAAATAGAATCTGTCATCCTAATACAGCACTGAAAAAAAGTAAGAGTTTGAGTCACTCCTTCCCTTCGTATAGTGCCGTGAGACAAACGTCCATCAGTTTCTCACCAATGTACCAGTTTTGCTTAGACAACTGTTGTTTAAAGGATGGTCAAGATTAGTAGCTTGAATGAAGGAAGAAAGACAAATCCTCTCTTCTTTTCCTACAGGAGAAAGACAAGGGTTTGCAAATCTCCATGTAACAGGTTTTTAGGTTTGTGGGGTTTTTTTAGCTTAAAGTTGCTGGACGAAATTCCTAAGCTCTCAACAGCAACTCACTTCTGAAGCTCAGCATGCTGGAACACTCTGACTTCTGTAGGCAATGGGGAACTGGCTTTGATTGAGGTTTCCACCATCTTTAATGTTCAAGGTTCCTGGCAGTTTAACTGCTCTTAGAGATAATAAATCCCTCATGAGACAGGAAGGCTGAACAATCACATACTTCAGACTAGCTTGATCTGTATAGTTCCAAGAATAACTTCCAGTGCAGGTGATAGCAAGCATATGATAAGCAAAGTTCCAGGGGAAAGTCTGTTGAAAAAACAGAGTTATGGGAAACAGACTGAACTGCTGGTTTTATGGACATAGCTCTATTCCAGCACTCAGGCAGTAAAAGTAAAATGAACTCCCTCAAAGTTAAAAATACCCAATAAAACTCAATAGGCAAGGTAATTATTTTGACTCGACAGAGAAGACCGGTCACTTGTTCCCACAGAGCAGCCTACCTTGCTGACACCAAGCAGTAAGACATCTCTCAGTTCACCTGGTTTTTCCAAAGCTCCGTTTTCTGTAATACGGATTTGTAGCGCTGGCCAAGCCTCTACCACTCTGGGCCAAACAACAACTTAAGGAACAAAAGAACTGTAAGAGGCATGTCCTCCAACAGCCTCTGCTGTGGTGTCACAGCTCCCCCAGGGGACAAGGCTGGTTGTGTTTTAAACTCCCAGGACAGACCTGCCCTCTTCCTGCTTATCAGTGCAGGTTCCTCAAGAACTCAGCTGGGAGATTTGCTGGATCAATGCTTGTCCCAGGGGTGCAGACCCAGGGAGTCAGGATGGCACCCAAGGGATGAAGGTACCTTCTCCCTTCCTGCCTTTCCCTTAGGAAAACGGATTTGAACACCAGGTCAACGGGAGGTGTTAGCTCAAACGTTACAGAATAAATGCATGAGAGACACACTTGAACAACGAAACTTCATATTGCCTGGGTTATAAAGGTAACATTTGCAACATCAGCTGCTTTTGCCCTTTCTCCTGGTAAGGGCCCCCATACTCCCTATGGAAGTGATGATCTTCTATAGGTCCATTATAAATATAAATTGGTCTGTCACAAAAGCAAAACTGAAAACTCCAGCAGTAACATAAAGGAGATATTTATTGTCAAGCAATATCACACCAAAGTAAGCAAGCAAATGCCATAGTAACTAACAAAACAGGAGAAAGCCTTGTGAATACACTGAATTTTAATTTCTGGCATCTTCAAAAAAGAATTCTCTTGGTTTGGCTGACAGAAAACCACAAAGCACAACTGTCTGTAACTGGAGCAATCGGACACGTATAGGGACAATAATTATAGGTAAAATAAATTAGTTGTAAACAGATCTGTTTACTGTACTTCTCACCACCTTTTTTGGTTTTTTTCTTTCTTCGTATTTCAGGGTTTGGGCTTTTTTTTTTTTTTTTAATCCTAAAAGTCCCAAGATGTTTAGGTCTCAGTACCGTAGGGCCCAGTTTTCTAAATGTTTATTCTCTGGGCTGGCAATAGTGGTTTATTCCACTGAGAAGATAAACAATTAGTTTAAAGTTTAATGTTACATACAAATGACTTATGTTTCCGGTAATTACTCAAGTTGAGGGAGCAAGTTTTTTCATGAAACAAATTACGAAATTGCTTGTTTGTTTAGTATTAGTCAAGCATACTAATATTTCAGTTGTGAAAATGACAATTGTTTTCTCCACCCCAGCCAGTCAAACCACAAGATACAAAGCCTGAAGTTAACAGTGCAAGTACAGCTCTTTGAAGAAAATTAAAAAGCCCCACACCCCCTCCCAAAACAGTCCAGTTACTTTAGAAAGTCAAATAGCAGGGCCTCTAACCCCTTCTCTTGAAATTCTCAAATAGTACAGGTTCAAGTCCAAAGGTAAACAACAATACAAGGAAAACAACAGACATCAGCATACCTCTTAAAAGCAGAACACAGAAAACAGCCTTAAGGTGAGCTGTTCCAATGAAGCACCTTGCTTTCAAACAGATGTTGAAGACAGCATCAGTCCTTCAGTAAAACACACCTTCTTGTGACTTCTAATGGAAATCAAAGACTGATTTAACAGCCCTGCACCTTTCGCCACAGAGATGGGAAAGGTACTTTCAAAGTACCTTCAAATAAGCCCTTCAAATTACATTCTGACAAAATACATCAGGCTCAAGTGAATCATCTTCAAGAGTAACCTTAGCTCAGTGATGTAATCAGCAATTAAAATTCTAACATTGCTAATATGCCCCCAGTTACTGTTTTCTAAGTTACATCCAAGTACCTCCCTTCATAATGGAATTTGTGCCTGCTAAAAAATGCTGAAACACAACTCTCAGTTGCACAAAGCCCAGGCCAGCTGTAGGCATTTGGGAATCTGCACTGGTGCCAATAATTTGGTTCTCCCCAGACAGCCAAACTGAGACAAATGGAGAAAACAGCAGTTAAGTCACACCCGATGGGAAATTTTGTCTTTTTCTAGTCACCTGACACCATAAATTTATCATGCAATTCTACATTCACTTTGTCAACAGAAAGGTTACTTGAACTATTAAATCCTGGTTAAATGTACGTTTATTTATCCCATGAGCTGCAGGTAGCTAAAGCGGTAACTCTTACTTCAGATAACATTGATTACATAGCCAAGGGATACAGATATATATTCTCATTTCCAGTGTAACTTGGAGATGGTTTCCACTGAGCTCTCACCCCTGATGCTCTTCTTCAGCGATCTGATACTGCAGCCTAGGTTTATTAGGATTGTGTTCAATCAGCCAGTCGGCAAGCCAAGTCTGTAAATGAAAAATCCAAATGTTTTCAGTTTTTGTTGTTTTCTAATAAGTGTATGTGAGAATGTTAAAAGCATTATTTGAAACCTCTGATACAGTCAGTCTCCTACTGTGCTGCGAAATGAAGACCTTTCAGAAAAAAACAGACATACAAATAACCTGTTTCTTAAAAATGTCCTTTAAAATCTTCACAGCTTATATTGCTTTTGCACAATTCACACTGACCTTTAGAAGACAACTTTTCCTGGCAATGTCTATCTTTGTGTATAAGAACATCTGAGCCAACAATCTGGTCAATTCTGTTCTGAAGTGAGGCTGTACAATATGCATTGAAGTGCTTAATGAAATATTATTCCTGACAACACTGACAGATCCTTTATCTAGTAATCATCCACTAAAAGCGCCAGTCTTCTGCACTGAAATCACCTTCTAGTCCCGAAAACTTAAACCCAAAACATGGTTACTTTTTGAAATGCATCTTGTCAGCTTTCCAGCACGTTGTACTTAAACAAGAACGTGGGAGGTAGGAATCCCGCGAGTCCCAACTTCCTCTGCCCGTGTCTCCGCCTGGCCTTAGGCAAATTCACCCTTTGCCTCGATTTCTCCACTTGTAAAGAGAAGTTTTTAACACATCCTTATTTACTTCACAAGGCTGTTGACGATTAGTTTCTGGAATGCTAAGTACAACAAACTTCATACCACACTGTGAAGTGAAAGGACTGATAGAAGAGCAGACCAGTAAGGTAAGCAACAGTCTCCTTTTATTACCAGGTATAAAAAAAATGGTGTGCAACGAGAGAGACAATAAGCAGAGAATCCTCACAGGTCAGTCAGCAATAGCAGAGGAACAGTAAGAACTCAAGACAGAAACGGAAAACAAACAAACAAAACACAAAAACCCCAAAGCCCTTAGAAAGTCTACTGGGGAAAAAGGCATCTGTAAATTTGAGCCCGACTGAATTTATCCTGTGTTACTTAGGGAACTGACTGAGACACTGCGCTGCTAGCAAGTATTTCTGAGTGGACAGAGAGTTTCTGACGCCACCTTAAAAAAGAAAGGGGGGGGTTTAAAAAGCTAAATCACCCCAACTTCAGGTCTTCAGTTCCTGGAAGGATACTAGGAAAAACAACAGCACCACAACAAACCAAACAAACAAAACTCACCCAAACCCCCTCAACATTCCCCTTAAGCCACCTTGCAGGTAACAAACTGAAAAGCAATAGCCAATATAAATTTCTGAAAAAAAAGTTGTATGAAATCAACATTATTTTCCTTCTGTTACAAGGTCACAGACACTATGGACAGGGAAGAAGGAGCAAATAGCATGTTTTCATTTTAGTAAAGCTATTAACACTGTTTCGTGTAGCTTTATAGCTTTCTTACGAGCGAGGAAGGCAAGCACGGTCTCAATGCAGTTACTGTTAGTTACCACATAACTGGCTAGAAAATCGTGCTCAGAATGCAGAGATCAATCAGAAGTAAAACCAAACAATGAGTTAGAGAAACATGACTTACAATGTAAGAGGGAAAAAAAAAATCAGCTTTTAATATACTGAAGAGATGACTGAAGGGAAAAAAGATGGTAATGCTCTTCAAATATGCAATAGGCCGCTGCTGCAAAAAAGGAGATATTACATTGTCTCAAATGTCCTCTGGGGATAGTAAAAGGAAAAAAAAACCACCAACCAACCCCAACTAATGGGCTGAAAATTGGAGCACAGGAGATTTAGGGTAACTTTTAGTAAAAGCTTTTCAACGAAGTATAATTAAGCATTGAAACAGATTGCCTAGGGAGAGTGTAGAGTCTCCATCACTTGGAGTGCTAAAGAACAGGCCAGACAAACCTTTGCTAGGAATGGTCAGATACAATTGGTCTGGCCTTTGGGCAAAAGGATGGATGAAAAGACTTCCCTGTTTTCTAGATTTCTATGGTAACAGTGCCAGGCGCACAGAAAAAGTGAACAGGTTACAACGCTGGAGCAATCACAGTACATTTAATCCGACCCCACGTATAGCACCTAGTTCATAGAAACACCCCTGAATTATTTTTCAGGCTTTTTTTTCTGAAATGTATCTTTTAGAAAAATGTGATGTTGATTAAGAACCTGATAATGATGCAGAATCCCCACAACTGCCAGTGAGGTGTCACACGGATTAATTCTCTGCATTCTTAAGGAAGTACTAGTGTGAAGACTTGAACTTTAAGACCACAAAAGCCATTTACCATCTTTTTCCAGATGAAAGAAAGCTAATTTTGTTTAGGGACTGAAAAAAACCCAACCCAACAACCAAACACCACCCACCAACCCCCAAAACCAATGGGAAATTAACTCTAGTCTTTCCATGAAGAACTGCAATTTGAAGGACACCCATGGTTAAATTCATGGTTAAAAGGAATAATATGTGAAAGGAGGGCGAGATGCATCAGCTTGATAACCAGAAAGGGGTCACAAGAAGACAGAAGAATTTTCTGTAGGTCAGTGTGACTATTCAAGATAGCCTTCACTCAGAAGAATCGTAATTCATTTTCCTGGTCAACTATGAAGCAAGCCAAGTAAATGCTAATCAATGCTGTATAGTGAAAATAACAGCTTATCCTACAGAAGGATTGACAACATTAATTTAAATAAACTGAACAATGACAAAATATAGACAGCCTTGCTAAGAACTCTACAGTATTTTACTCAACTGTGTAACTACTATTGGTGTGATTACCACCTAATCTCACTTCGTATCACTTGTATGAGAGTTATTTCATCTCAAACTCACCTCAAAAACAGTAAATAAAGTAAAAACTTGTATTTGACATCACAAAATAGTACTCATTTACCTTTCCAGCCATCTGTACCAACTACATGTTAGAAGGAGTTTTACAGAAGTCATTTCATCACGGCTGATGTCCTGGCCCTCATCTCATCTCTTAACAAATCAGTGAATTTCTTGAAAGGCAAATGTTATTTGATTAGCTCATTAGCAGGCAGCTAAACCAGCACAGCTCCTTAACAAAAGAGCAGCTTTCCTGTGTACAGGGACTTTACTAATAGGAAGTAAATGTATCACAAAGCATACACCACACCACGGATAGACTGTACGTACCATTGGATCGGCTGGCTTCTCTTTACACAGTGCAGTGAGCCCAGCCAGTAACGTAGGCTTTACATAAAGGTTCAGGTAATCCCTAGCTCTTTGTCCCACTGGAACTGGCTCCAAGATCACTGTAAAGAGTAACCACAGGTGTTGGAAAACAGCTTGTGGAGTGATTAAAAAAGACATTCTCTCAAAGGTTGTTTATATACGAGCTGCTGTTTTCCTTAATAAGTTAATAATGCATAATGGGTGTTATAGTTTCTTGCACATCAAACTGCAAAGAAACTACCTAAACCCCTTCACAACGTCCCTGAGGTAATCTTACTGATTATAGCCAGTTATGAAAAGGGAGGAAATCAGCTCATCTAGGCAAAACCTATATCCTTGAAGATGCATTGGGGGAGAGGAACAATAAATCGCCTGTTTAGCACTTCCTTCTTGCAGTGTGAAGCTGGTTTCTGAAGACCCTAAAAATCTCACCTTAAGTCCAGCTTTGTTGTTAGGGTGAGGAGAAGAGACATGGTTTACAACAGGTAAGGTCTGTAGGGAAGTACATCTTTTATTAAACTAACTGATACAATTGACAGAAACAGGCAGGTTTTTCTAGCAGTTTCCCTTGCATCTTTCTGTCAAAGAGCAAAGCCACCTTTCAACTGTTACATGACAAACAAGAGCTCCTCTCCCAGCCTTCCCAGGTTCTATGGCCCATTTCTCTGGCACTGAAGTTGAGAATTGCACTATCATGTGAGCATCCAGCTGCTGTTGGAACAGGAATTACTGAACCTGAGCCCAAGAAGAGAATCAGTCTTCTCCAGCCGAACAGGAGTCCCCAGGGCTGACAGTGCCAGAAAGACATGCTGGAGTGTAACAGCTTCCCACTTCCTCTCATTTACCACCTTTGCCTCCAATTCCCAGACCACAGAGTTTGAAAAGTAGAAGCAAAAGCAATCCCTGTTAACTATAACGGTTCTTCTACACACATTTAGGTATGTCTTTCCTAGCAGAGAATATCAGCTTAGACATAGAGAGACCCATTCTCATAAAGCAAACAAACCCAACCTCTTCTAAATCCAATTGTATCCAGAGTCTGGACAGAGACAAGTAATAACAGGGAAGGACACTATCCTCCCAGATTGGCAATGTGTGATTTGCACCATTTTACCTTCTGGAAACATGAATCGAATTTCTCTTTCTGCTGAGGAAATGCTGAGACTTCCGTGAAGCGCATTCCTCAGATCATCAGTCCCATAGATAGCTCTTAAGCTAAAAACAAGAGAAAAAAACCTGCTTGGTAGGCAAGTGTGAAACCTGTCCAAGTCTCTACAGTCTGAGAGCACATAAAAGCAATATATATGGACTAATTAACAAGGCACTGGCTTGATATCGTTTTTAAAGAAAGCAAGTAGCTACCTAAAATGTATGTTCACGCACTCAGTGTTCCGCATAAAATGGGTGAAATTTACACAGTAAAAAACAAAGGTGAAAAGCTATGTTATTGGAAATTTAAAAGGCAAGAAGCCACTTATAAAAAAAAAAACCAAGAAAGGAATTCTGGTCTCAATTAAGAGAATGACAAAATCCTACAGACTTCCCCAAGGCCATCAATGAGTTACCTGTGCGGGTGAGTTCTCCTAGCCTTTATGCTGTTTGATGGTCCAAGCAATTCCTTCCAGTATGAGACTGCGCAATGTCTGGCAAGAACCATAGCAACTAAAGGTCCAGAACTCATGTAGGCTGTTAAATTTGGAAAAAACACTTTCCCATATTGGTCTGCGTAAAAGTTGCTACATTGCTCTGGGCTTAACTGGAGCTTCCGTTTCTATAAAGTGTGAAAGAAAAAAAAACATGAAAAAACCCCCCACCTTGTCAAATGAAGATAGCTCGCTACCTCAGGTCAGATACAGTCCTCTGGCGCAGACATACCTTCAAGTGCAGGAGGCCAGATAGAGAGCAAGGTCCCAGCCTAATCTGATTCTCCCAGATCTGATCCTCTTTGAGACACAGAGTAACCAAGAGCAGCAGTTTTCCAAGATAATTAAACAGAGAAGCGGACCACTTGAGTAAGATGTGATTTTAGCCTACGCAAACCACAGCATTTTAAGACTGCTGGATGACTTAAAGTATAGTCAGGGCACAGTACAGAAAAAGTGAAGAGCATTACAACGGGCAGGATTTAATTACTCAGCTGCTCCAGCAGAATGTTCTACTTTTCAACCATTTTCTCTCCAGCCCACACCGTTAATTATGCAATTGTTCTCTTTTTCATTCAGTACTTCACGCTTTATGGTTTTCACAATAGATGCCTAGCCTGCAGGAGGCCGGATTAGGACAGGTTTGGGAGGTTATCAGAAGGCATAGGACAGTCACGAAAATAAATTCTTTGAGCCTGAACTTAGGCAACACACAGCACCACAAACTCAGACTTCTTATAGCTTTAGTGCCAAAAGCCGCTGGAGACATCAGAAGATGCTATAAGCATCTTCAAATTACAAAAATAAATGTAAAAAGATCTAATTTCTCTTATCTTTTGATACATTTCGTAGAAATAAAAACAACCACAAAAGGAGGAAGTGAAAAAAGAACAAACGTGAAAAAGGGGCATTTACAAGGAAAGAACGAGTACGCTTTCAGAAAAAAACCCACTCAAACTTAAAATTGTATCTCGAAGGCCAGTGGTCTGGTGTGGCACAGAGCCAGCTACCACGGGTAAGGGCGCTGTGGTGAGGAGGAGAACGAGGAGGAGGAGGAGAAGGAGGAGGAGGAGG